ACGGGAGTGCCCTGACGTACGACAGAGATGGCAGAATGGCGGTACATGTTTCTGGTTCCCGTGTTGTCGGTTGTTGTTGTTGTATCGTCTTTGAGTGTGGAATGCAAACTCCGGTGTTGACGACCTTTTCTTGTGTCGTTCCTCGTGCAGGTCCATGTCTTGTTGTTCAGCATGAAGTTCTGCGCAGAGTGCTGCTTCAGAGATTTGTCCGTGACGTCGAAGAATAGCTCGAGTGGAGCGCCAATGGGGTCCAAGACCTGCAAGGACGACGGTTACAAAAGCTTCTTCGGATAGCGTGCCACCGCATCGATGAAGCCTGTCGCGCAGACCGCGACACCTGCTGATATACGCCATTGCCTTTTCGCCGGGTTGCATTTGAACTGTTGTCAGCTGTGCCATAAGACGACTCTGATTAACGCTGTCGTTTGCTTGATACAGGCTCTTCAAGTGGTTGTACGCGAGCTCGGCGGAGTTGCCGTATCCCCGATAAGTCAAGATGTTCTGCTGCTCGTTCGCCGTTATATTCCTCAAGAGAATTGTGTAAGCCATCAGCAACTGACATGTATACTGTTGCTTGTCGTACTGCGTCCCCTGTATTGGGTATGGCAGGGACCCATCGAAGAAGCCAAGGATTTGCGCGCCTTCCTTCATTAACTCGAATTCAAAAGACCATGTATAGAAGTATTTTTCGTCGAATGGCGTTATTGTCTGCAGCTTTAACACGCGTGCGAACTGTGACTGCATCTGAAGTGCATCCGCTGGTTTTGGTTCTTGTCCAGGTTGAAGACGGTTTGGGATGAAGCTGATGGAGCCGCACTGGGGCTCGTACGACGCAAAGGTAGGTTGCTGCTGTTGATTTCCGCGCGCATGTGATGAGCCGTCGAGACTCATAGGAGTGACGCCATTGTTGTTGTTGCGGTTGTTGGATTGCGCAGGTACCGCTTGCTGGTGTTGCTCGTAGAACGACATGAAGGAGAAGAACTTCTCCATCATGCTTGGGTCAAAGCCGATTGCAGGGGTTTCAGTAGACTCAGCAGCTGGTCTTGTTGCTGTGCCTCTCTCTGTCTGTAGTCCAGAGGCTAGAGGTGGAGTAGGAGTAGTACCAGGGGATCCGTTAGAGGAGCTTCTCTCCTTTTGTGTTGCCATGCCTTCTGATGTTGTAGCAGTTTTAACAGAGTTGAGTCTTGCCATGTCTGCTCTCATACCATATTGGGCTGAGAAGGCCCTTAGGATCGTTCAAGGCTAAGACTTAGTAATGTGATGTAATTGCGGAAGCGTTCTTAGTGAACTTGTTGAACCACCTTGAGCTAGCATGTGAGAACAAGATGAGTCAAGTTAAAACAAAGAGATACAAGCCTGTTACTTTCAGAATAGCTAGGCAAGAATGGTGCATTGAATGGAAGAATTGGGTACAAGTAGCAAACCCTAGTTGGGGTTGTACCCCATATCAGCTACCCCACTACAGCCTACCAACATATAACACATTACAATTTAACACACCCCCATAGGCAAAGTGGGGGAGAACAAAGGGTCACAAGACCAGTCCAGCAAAGCAACGCAAGCCCAGGGTGGATCACAAAGTCACCACACTCCGAGCACAAGCAAAGGCCACAAGGCCAGTTCACATGCAGTGCTAGATATAGTACAAGACAAGTAACAAGATATATATAAAGTACAGTACAAAGAATGTCAAGCAGTGAGCAAGTGAGGAAACGTGGACACAAGGCCTAAAGAAGTACAGTGCCGCTGATGATCACTAGGCGGGAGCGCCTTGGTGAAGATATCAGCAGTGTTGGCCTTCGAGTCCACGTACACAAGCCGAAGCTGACCTCGCTGCTGCAGCTCTCGAGCAAGAAAGTAGCGAAGAGCAATGTGCTTCGTCCTGTGCTCCAGTCTGTGCTCCTGACACAAGGCAAGGGCCGCCTTGTTGTCGCCGTACAGAACTGGAGGAGAACTAGGCCGCTCTCCCAAGTCAGTCAGCAGGTAGGTGAGCCAGCGTAACTCCTGTGCAGCCATGGCTGTGGCGTAGATCTCAGCCTCACAACTAGAGCTGAGAACAGAAGAAGAACGGGTGGACCGCCACGAGACAGAACCAGAGCCAAGGCTGAAGGTGTAACCCTGCGACGACCGCTGCGTAGCCAGGTCGTCCACCCAAGAAGCGTCCGAGTGACCAGTGAGAACAACTCTGTCGTGTCCTCCAAGCACCAGCCCCATGCCTGATGTACTGCACAAGTAACGCAGCACCCTCTTAGCAGCCTCCCAGTGCTCTCTCCTGTGTCTCCCAGGCGCAACGTAACGAGCAAGGATGCTAAGAGGGTACGCGAGGTCAGGTCGTGTGCAAGTCATCAGGTACATGAGGCAGCCTACAAGCTCTGGGTACGGGCCACTCGGCTCTACGGACTCGTCCGAAGGTGGAGCTGAGAGCGAGTGGCTGGTAGCCAGAGGTGTGGCCTGTGGTGAGGAGAACTGGAAGCCGAAGCGCTGAAGGACCTGCTGCACCATGTGTGACTGAGTCAGGGTGATGGTGCGGCGAGCTCTGTCCCGGGTGATCTGCAAGCCAAGGTAGCTACGCAGTTCACCCAGGTCAGTGCACGTGTGTCTCTTCTGCAGCTCCGACTTCACACGAGCGAGTGCCTCAGTGTCAGCAGTAGCAAAGACCAAGTCGTCGACGTACACGAGAATGTAGAACGGCGGCAGCGACGTGTCTGTGCGCAGAAACAGCGACGGGTCAGCAGTAGACGGCACGAACCCAAGAGCCGCAAGTGTAGTCCTCAGTGTGTCGTGCCACTCACGTGGCGCCTGGCGGAGACCGTAGACTGGCCGGCGGAGACTCCACTGGGTACCAGGGGGAAACGACCCAGTAAAGCCAGGTGGGCGGCACAGCCAGATCTCCTCGTGCAGGCTGCCCTGCAGGAACGCTGTGCTGAAGTCAAGAGAGTGAAGCTCGTAGTCACGCTGAGCAGCAACGTGCAGCAGAACCCGAAGAGTGGTCATCTTCGGGGTGGGGGAGAAGGTCTGGAAGAAGTCGACCCCCTGACGCTGACTGAAGCCTCTAGCAACGTAACGAGCCTTGAAGACAGGCGGAGAACCTGGCGGCCGCTTCACCCTGAAAATCCACATGCCATCGACGATGTTCGCCCCAGGAGGGGGAACCTCGTCGACGTAGGTGCCTGTGGACTTCCAGGATGCCATCTCTGCGTCCATGGCTGTCTGCCACTGAGAGGAGTAGGGACCCGAGATCGCCTCTGCGTAAGTGCGCGGAGTGGGGATGTCTACTGCATCCGGGTCTCCCTCAGGGGCAAGCAACCAGGCCACGAGATGAGGTACAGCAGCCGCAAGAGAGTCAAAGTCCTCCTGCCTGTCCTCAAGGACGTCCGTGCCAAGAGCACACTCACCCCCGACGGACGGAGGACAGACAGACGCAGACTCAGACTCAGCGACAAGGCTAGCAGCGTAGTCTAGACGACAGGCAGCAGCAAAGTCAACCAACTCAGCGACCAGAGCAGACGCAGCCGAGGACTCAAAGGTGGGGTCAGTGACAACAGTAGCAAGGAGACGCGTGACTGTAGGGTGCTCAGCGCGATACCGGTCAGACTCAGGGTCCGGAACGGCAGGCAAAGAGGACGCAGGAGGAGACGGTAGAGGGACACGCCGAGGAGCAGTAGAGGGACGCAGAGTCATGTAGTGAGTGCCTGGGACAGGAGGAGGACGCTCACGACGGACACGACTACCAGTGCGAGCAGGACGAACAGGCGACACAGGACGAGACTCAGGCTCACGACGCTCTGTAAGACCTCCTGTGGGACCAGCGTAAGGAGAGGGAGCAGGGAGAGGCGAGGCAGGCGGTAACTGTGACTGCGGCTGGACAGGCGGAGGACACTCTACGGAGGGAGGAGGACAAGGAGGAGGAGCCTGCCCAAGAACCTGCTGAAGGAGCGGTACGAAGTACGGTCGCGGCCGCGCAGCGTCTCCAGAAGCAGAAGAGACTCCAGCGGCCGGGTCCTCAGGACCAGCAGGAGCTCCAACGTCCGGGTCCCCAGCACCAGCAGCAGCGCCACCGCTCGGGTCCTCAGCTCCAGCAGCAGCTCCACCAGGCGGGTCCGCAGCACCAGCAGCAGCGCCACCCCCAGAGTCGGCAGCTCCAACTCCGCCAGCACCGCCAGCGCCAGAGTCCCCAGCTCCAGTAGCTCCAGTCGCAGTGCTCCCAGAACAACCAGTCCCGGCAGCTCCAGTACCCCCAGTACGAGCACCCCCAGGACGAGCAGCCCCAGCACCCCCAACTCCAGCCGAGCCACTAGGACGGCGAAAGCGGCGGACGTACCAGTCACGAAGCTGCTGCGGTGTGAGAGACTGCTCAGCACCCCGAACCGGAGCACCCCCAGACGCAGTAACCCGAGGCTCCGTAGGCTCAGTAGCAGCACCCCCAGGCTCAGTACCCGCAGGCTCAGTACCCGCAGGCTCAGCACCCCCAGTCGCAGCACCCCCAGGCTCAGCACCCCCAGGCGGCAAACTCTCAGGCACAGTACCCTCAGCTCCAGCACCCGTAGTCCCAGCACTCCCAGGCCCCGCACCCGCAGGCTCAGCACCCCCAGGCTCAGCACCCCCAGGCTCCGTACTCTCAGGCACCGTACCCTCAGCTCCAGCACCCTCAGTCCCAGCACCTGCAGCCCCAGCACCCCCAGGCCCAGCACCCCCAGGCTCAACACCCCCAGGCTCAGCACTCCCAGCAGCACCACCCGCAGCAGCACCTGAGTCACCTGTGAACTCGACAGGCTCAGCGACGGGAGGAGGGTCTACCTGAGAGACACCTGAAGGAGCAGGACCCTGAGGGGGAAGGGGGTCTACCGGAGGGGGACCAGGAGCAAGGAAAAGCGGCGGGGGAGGGAGGGGGGCAGTACGGTAGGGGAAGAGACGGTAAAAAGGGACCGACTCGTCAAAGGTGACATCCTGAGAGGCGAAGACCCGGCGCGAGGTGGGGTGGTAAAACTGCCAGCCAGGTGTCAGAAATAACTGAGCAGAAACCGGACAGCAAACGGCCACAGAAAATGGGGAGCCGCCGCGTGGACCAAGGAGGTACGAGCGACCTCCATGACCAGGCCAATGCGGCGCTCAGCAACCCCATTCTGCTGTGGGGAGTCCGGAAGCGTGAAGGTCTGCTCGATGCCCTCCGCCTGACAGAAGGTCCTCAAGAGATCGGAGGAGAACTCACCACCTCTGTCAGAGTGCAGACGCAGGACAGGAAGATCCGTCCGGAAACGGCGGCGGAGCTGGAGACGAACCGTGCGGATCCAAGGGATCAGAACAGCAGGGACCTCACCCTTGGTGCGCAAGGGGAAGACCGTGGTGTAACGCGAGTAGTCGTCGACAACCAGCAAAAAGTACCGCTCACCGCCCTGACCACGAACGCGGGCTGGGCCCCACACGTCCAGGTGGAGGGTCTGCAGAGGAGCCTCTGTCGGGGGGAACGAGGAGGAGTGAGGAGCGGCGCGCTGCCGCCCCTCGACGCAAGGAAGGCAAGGCGGCGCAGGCGAGGCAGGGAGGGGAGGGAGGGACCTGGGAAGACCAGACACAAGGTGGCGACGGTGCATGCCACGAAGGCGTGGCAAGGAGGGGTGACCCAGGCGGTGGTGCCAGAGAAGAGTCTGGTGCGACAGGGAACGACACTCACAGGCGTGGGCTACCAGACCTGACGCAGACACCAGACCGACAGCAGCGACCTGAGGAGACGCAGTGGTCAGTGTGTAGAGACTCGACCCCGGCCGACGGGTAAACGTAGCCAGGTGACGGCCGGTCCTGGAGCACGTGCAGATCGCCACACGCTGTCCGCCAGGGGTAAAGGTGTCAACCCACTGATCCTGGAGGACAGCGTTGCTCACCAGGTTCGTCGAGAACGAGGGGAGGTGGAAACCCGACAACGAGCCAGACGGAACCGCCGGACAAGGGAGGACAGTGGTGGACTGGGCAAGGACTGGGCCCCCAGAGGGGTCAGCCAAGGAGACTGGGACCGGTGCAGGAAGCGGTGTGAGCTCAGTACTGTCACGAAAGAAGCAACGGGAAGCACCTGAGTCAAGGGTGAAGGTGTGACAGGCCTCAGCCGGTGCGGTACCTAAGAGAGCAGTCTCTGTGGGTGCTGTACCTGAGAGAGCAGACTCGAAACCAGCCAGGACAGCACTGGGGGGAGCAAGTACAGGGGGCACCATACCAGAGAGAGCAGACTCACTAGTACCCAGGGCAGCGGGCTCTATACCTGGGTCAGGCGGCACACACAAGTAACAGTCTCCCTCGGCACTAACAGTCAATGCATACATGGCAGCAATAATAGCATCATAGTCAAGAGCAAAGACATCAACACCAGCCCTCATGAGCTCAGCCCAGCGGGGGCGCTCAACATCCGCGCCCATCTCCTCACGCCAAGCGTCGTCAAGGCGGGAGAAGCAGCGGTACGGGGTGTGGAACCTCCCACACGTCTGTCCCTTGCGGTCACCTGTGCGAATGACATAAGAACAGCGGCCACTGCCCCCCGACGTCCCACGCTGAGCAAGCCACTCACGAAGCTGCTGGGTCGTCTGGGGACGCTGCTGCTGCTGGGAGCTCTGGCCCGAGCCAGTGCCTCCACTCCGACCGCCGCCGCCACCACTACCACCGCTCCGACCGCCACCGCCACCACCGCCACCACCGCCACCGCCGCCACCGCCGCCGCCGCCACTACTGCCACTGCTTCCGCCGCCGCCCCCGCCTCCACCACCGACCCCACTCCCACCAGCGCTCCCGCCACCGCTCCCTCCAGCACCGCCTCCCCCCCCACCTCCCCCACCTCCTCCCCCCCCAGCGCCACCACCACCACCCTTGCCCCCCTTGCCCTTGCCGGTGCGGCGCCTCCCACCAGGAGCAGAAGCAGCGCCAACAGACTCAGCACCAAGGAAGTCAACAGCAGCAGCAGCAGCGTAGGAGGGAGCGAGGGGAGAGGGAGAACACCCCTCAAAGATGGGGGTGCGAGGAGCGCCACGAGCAGCACCAACAGCTACAATGCTCTTTTCGGCCGCGAGCAGCTGCTCCTCTAGGAGGGCGACTGTGAGCTCAGTGGGACAGCGAGCAAGGAAGTGGTCTCGAACTGAGCGGAGGGTGTCAGGGAGACGGGTGACTATGAAGTGGAGTGTCCAGTACAGTGGAGGGGGGTTCTTAGCGCAGAACTCGGTGGGAAGGGCGGCACGCAGGCGAGCATCACTAGTGCGAAGGTGGGTGATAAGATCGGCGACTGTAGTAAAGGTGGACAGATCGGGGAACAGGTACGGCAGCATGAGGCGGCTAAGCTCGGCTGTGGCAGGCGAGGAGTAGCGAGCAACGACAGCATCGTACAGGGCCTTAGCGGATTTGCAGTCGCCAAAATGCTCGAGCTCAGCTAGCGGCAGGTGACTACGAATGGCTAGGCGAGCAGCTGCGTCACGAGTCTGCCAGTGGGAACGAACACTAAGCTCGGCTGTGGCAGCAGGAGCAGCGGCAGCACCAGACGCGTAGTCATAGAGGGAGATGTGGTCCGTGCTATTGCTCATAAGATACAACTGCAGGTCATCGAGCCAGGAAGTGAACTGCACGGGACGGCCCTCAGCATCGAAGGAAAGAACACGAATAGAGGCCATAGCTCAGGCGTGAGGGCACAGCAGAGCAGCGGCAGCAGCAGAGGGGACGCAGCAAGCGGGCAGTGAGGCAGCGGGCGGCGCTGCGAAGCAGGTAGCGGGCGGGCGGGCGGCGCTGCGAGCGGGCAGCGAAGCGGGCGGGCCGCGAAGCGGGCAGCGAGCGGGCGGGCGGGCTGCGAAGCGGGCAGCGGGGCGAGCGGGCTGCGAAGCGGGCGGGCCGCGAAGCGGGCAGCGAGCGGGCGGGCGGGCTGCGAAGCGGGCGGGCCGCGAAGCGGGCAGCGGGGCGAGCGGGCTGCGAGGCGGGCGGGCCGCGAAGCGGGCAGCGAGCGGGCGGGCGGGCTGCGAAGCGGGCGGGCCGCGAAGCGGGCAGCGAGCGAGCGGGCTGCGAAGCGGGCGGGCCGCGAAGCGGGCAGCGAGCGGGCGGGCGGGCCGCGAAGCGGGCAGCGAGCGGGCGAGCGGGCTGCGAAGCGGGCGGGCCGCGGAGCGGGCAGCGAGCGAGCGGGCTGCGAAGCGGGCGGGCCGCGAAGCGGGCAGCGAGCGGGCGGGCGGGCTGCGTGGCGGGCGGGCCGCGAAGCGGGCAGCGAGCGGGCGGGCGGGCTGCGAAGCGGGCAGCAGGACGAGCGGGCTGCGAGCGGGCGGCTCGGCGGGCGGGCGACACTGCAAGGGGCGCGCGAGGGCGCTAGTGAGGGGCGCGCGAGGGCGCTAGCAAGGGGCGCGCGAGGGCGCTAACGAGGGGCGCGCGAGGGCGCTAACGAGGGTGCGCGCGAGGGCGCTAACGAGGGGCGCGCGAGGGCGCTAACGAGGGCGCACGAGGGCGCTACGAGGCTAGGGCACGGGGTAGCGTGGTAACCGCATGCGAGCGGTGGTGGGCCCTTAAAAAAAAAAAAAAAACGGTCGGTAGGTCCTAGGGACCTCCTGCTCTGAATACCATTTCAGAATAGCTAGGCAAGAATGGTGCATTGAATGGAAGAATTGGGTACAAGTAGCAAACCCTAGTTGGGGTTGTACCCCATATCAGCTACCCCACTACAGCCTACCAACATATAACACATTACAATTTAACAGTTACTGCTGTTGCGGTTCGATACAGCGACGACTCGGGCAACTGCTCAATAGCGAGTCAGTTGTGTGCTGTCGCACTGCCTTTCGGTAGGTCAAAGGTCGCTGATCTTTGACTTTCGCTCAACCTCTTGCTGTTATATCTTGTCAACCTCCTCGGTTGACTCGCTGTTGCTTCGCTGTGGTTCGCTTCGCTTACGGCTCAGTGTTTCGATACTACATAAGCGTAAACTGCATGTTTCCAACATTCGTTACCGTTACCACTGTGGCTTTCGATATTTAATCTCGCTGATCTCTTCGCTCATTGTACTGTTTTGCTTCGATATTGCAATTCTCACTCGTTTACTCAATTGCACTCGTAACACATAGAAAAAAACAGAGTGCGCTATTTACAGTACATACTGATTTTCTCTACTAGAGACAGATTTCTCAGACACAATTTTTACGTATTAATTCTGGTTTATGCTGGGCTGATTAGCAATAATTTCTCTAAATTCCAATATATGTAAACACCATTAGGAAAAACACCTTCCAAAACAGTGGTGGAAATGACCTGCTACGATAGGGCTAAACTAGCAACACGCCCTCACTCGCAAACCCTAGCCTCCTTCCTCCTCCACTAAAACCCTCTATCCTCTTTAGTCCTCCCTTTCCTCGACCTACTACTGGCTTTCCCTTCCTCCCGTGCTTTCACTTGCTTTCTGTCCGCTCCCTTCCACTCTCCTTGGTCTTCGCATTCTTAGCGCCATGGCCCGCCCCAACGCGTCGGACGACCTGGTGTGGGTGCTGCTGAACCAGGGCCACAGCTTCAAGGCGCGCTCGCCCGTCGGCGCCAGGCGCCACCTCAGCCGCGAGCCCAACAACCTCGTCGCCCTCCACTCGCGCAAGTACACCGGTACGCGCCCGCACATGTGCACAGCTGCGCGCCCGCGCAAGTACACAAAATCGCACCCGAGCAAGTGCACCGGTGCGCGCTCGCGCGTGCTGCTGCACTTGAAGCAGTTTTTTGCCAACTTTTGCCATGGCAGCATGACGGATGTCGCAACAACGGATGTCGCAATAGCGGTAGTCGATTCTGCGACCACGGATGTCGCAATAGCGAATATTGCAACAGCAGGGCGTGAGGCGATGACCGGTCTGTGACGCGATCAGCGCGGGAAAATTAGGCTACACTACCGCCCGTCGAGTCGTTGCGCGCCGCTCAGTATCGCATTTCCGTGTTACGGGGAGCACCAGAAACGTTCTCGTAGTTGTTTTTTCCCACGCGACCCGAAAGGGGACGCCTGGGTATCACCTCATCAGGGGTATCAATAATCGCGACACGGTGCGATTTAAGTAGCTACCCAGAGGTATAATTTGTAGAAAGGGGGCGGATCTCGGCTTTTTGAATCCATGCCGTTCTTTACAGATTCAACGTTGGCGCCCAGGGTCGTCTAAAGCCGCAGCGCCGGGCCCTGCGGCGTCTCGCCGTTTTTCGTTTCGCCGGCGCCACACCACCCCGCACTTCCCCATCTGCCCCCCCGGCTCCCCCCTCCTACCAAACCAGGCCTAGCGTCGGGCAAGACGGTGGCGATCCGCGCGACGGGCAAGGGGCAGAACCTGGAGATGACAGAACCAGCCCCACGATTCACCAAGCCCCCCTCTCTTTCCTCCTCCGTCCCTCCCCATTCCCTCCCCCTCTCTCCCCCCATGCAGGCCTGGCGTCGGGCAAGACGGTGGCGATCCGCGCGACGGGCAAGGGGCAGAACCTGGAGATGACGATCACGCACCCCGAGAAGGCGCACAAGCCCGCCGAGGCGCGCGAGGTGATCGTGCTGAAGAAGGACATGCCGCAGATCGCCAAGAACATCACCGACCGGGTGCGTTATAAGCAGCGAGGATGAGGAGCGGACCGGGTGCGTTATAAGCAGCGAGGATGAGGTGCGGACCGGGTGCGTTATAAGCAGCGAGGATGAGATGCGGACCGGGTGCGTTATAAGCAGCGAGGATGAGGTGCGGACCAGGTGCGTTATAAGCAGCGAGGATGAGGTGCGGACCGGGTGCGTTATAAGCAGCGATGATGAGGTGCGGACCGGGTGCGTTATAAGCAGCGAGGATGAGGTGCGGACCGGGTGCGTTATAAGCAGCGAGGATGAGGTGCGGACCGGGTGCGTTATAAGCAGCGAGGATGAGGTGCGGACCGGGTGCGTTATAAGCAGCGAGGATGAGGTGCGGACCAAGTGCGTTATAAGCAGCGAGGATGAGGTGCGGACCAAGTGCGTTATAAGCAGCGAGGATGAGGTGCGGACCAGGTGCGTTATAAGCAGCGAGGATGAGGTGCGGACCGGGTGCGTTATAAGCAGCGAGGATGAGGTGCGGACCAGGTGCGTTATATGCAGCGACGATGAAGTTTGTTATGATATCAACTATTAGTTGCGTTCAGGGCACCAGGGCTAGTAGTGCGCCCCGACAACATCACCCATCCGTGACCAGCCCTCCCCTCATTCCTCCCTCCCCATGCTCCTCTCCCCTCCCAGCTCCTCCCCTCCGCTCAATTCCACCCTCCCCACCCTCTGTCCGCTGTATGCCCACGAGCTGGGAAATCAGCTCAGGCGTTTCCATTCGACACGCATCTCTGCCCACAACTTTCTCCGCACTCCGCAACTCCTCTCCCTTTCTCCCATCCATACAGCTGAGCTGAACACATGCGAGCCGTGGCTGATCAAGGCGGTACTGTACTGACACACTGTGTTGCACCCATCAACCCCGATTCCCTTCTCTACTCCTCGAGTTCACTTCTACCTGCTCCCCTCCTCTCTCTCCTTCCCCAGTTCCCATAAGCTAACCACATAGGAGCCACGGCTGACATACCCCAAAACCTATTCCCCTCTCTCGCACTCATCATCCTCACTCCTTTCCCCCCACCCTCCTCTTTCCCCCCTGTTCCCCCACATCAGCTAAAGACGTACGAGCCTCGGCTGAACAAGGCAGCGCTGGCCTACGCCTACAACCTGCACAAGGCGCTGCGCCGCAGCGAGAGGGGGCAGGTCGGCACCGGCGCCAAGCACGTTGCCGTGCGCTGAACGCGGCACTGCTGCTGATTGCTGAAGCCCCCACGTGCACTTACAATGCTGCCTGAGTGATTGCTGAGTTGACCTGGCCGGACGTTAAGCTATGGGTGGTTTGAAGCTTGCCGCCGTTGTCTTGTTTTTTGAAAGAGTGAACAGGAAATGCCACGCTTATGCTGGTAAAGAGGAAGTGGTACAGTATACAGCATGTGCCTTGCCCTGCATGGTTCGCGCACTGCCAAATCTCAGAATCTAGGCAAAGGAATGAGTGCATTAGGTCAAGGAGGGGTACAAGAAGAATATCGAGAAAAATACTGTACCCCCTTGTGCTACCCCACTACAGCTTACAAATGTATAACCCCTATATAATTTGACACACCCCCATAGGCAAAGTGGGGGAGAACAAGGGGTCACAAGACCAGTCAAAGCAAAACAAGCAAGCTCAGGGTGGATCACAACGTCACCACCAGGGCCTCAGATTCATTTTTAGGGACCCTGGGCCCTCAGGGCATGGCTCTAAATTGCGTGTCCTCCTCAGGGCAGAGTCCCTAGGGGGGC